CGACCTGCGTCCAACACACGAGGTTATTCTACTAACTTCACTAACATGGGATATCCACACCTGAGCAGCCTCGACATTCCTGATGCATTGGAAGACGGAAGCCGTCGACAGCTCTGTTAGCAAGTGATTCCCGCTGATACGTATTTTCACAACAGATAATTTCAGGTGTCCCTATTTTTCCCAGAAAATGAAATATAGGCACTGTCTCAACTTTCCGACACATTTCAGAATACCTGATGTGCAAGTAGCATTTCGATGGTGATGTCCTCTTTTCCGTTTTGTCCGAATTCAGGCCAATGCTTGGAGACCTGATCTTCGTACGCCACTAGGCCGCGATCAACCAGCATTGCAAAGCATATCGCGCAGACGCTCTAAAGCTACTTCACTAAGTCAGAATCAGATGCCTAAACAGGAAAGATCCTATGCTTTTTATGTATAAAAAATATGCGGAGTTCTGCGAAATCCAGCTATGCATGTATTGAATAGGAATGTATAAGAATTAATGAATCGAAATAATCCTGTTTGTCCGGTTTTTTTAATACATTTCTTTATATTTTATACGTACCATCATTAATGTCTTTAGTCGACTACATCTCGGAAGTTCCCCGTTTGTTTAGCCTAATGAATGAAGCATTAATTACTGATCACCTTTCCAAGCGCATTTTTCAAAAAAAAAGATCGCCTATGTGCTGTTTGGCAATGCGCAGAATAATCGAGACTGCTTTTTTGAAAATAAATCCGAAAGAGGTTGCAAAGGAACGAGCGATGAAGTGTACTTCTATGGATTTTAATGAACGGAAGTGCCTGATGTTCAAAAAGAATAATAGCCGATGAAAGTCCGTGAAAGCCTTAAGGACATATTAAAAAGTTACAAACAGGACCACTTCTCGCCCTTGAAAAATCTTATGAACAATAAATCATCTACATCTTAGCGCCCTGTTAAAAAAACTTTGCAAAATTTATTTTAGTAGAACTGTAGAAAAATGAAGTCCTGAATTCGTCAGGAGAGTAAAATACGAATCAGAATGCTAGATAGCCGACAGGGCCCGGTTCAGGTATTTTAATCAGACAGTGAAAGCACAGAATGTACCAGAAGCCGCTTCTTAAGCAAATCTTCAAAAGACATACAACGAACTGTATCATGCATTTTTGCAAAAAGTTGCATTCTGTAACCTTTGTAGAGCTGAACAGCAACGACATTGTATCGCTCTTCCACTTTCGACACGAACTCGAATCGGCATATCCACCCCACAAATCCACCACTTTC